TGCCCCCCCACCCCAACTCCAGTCGACTGCCACAGGTGCAGCCTTTCTATCATGTCATTAATGTTACAAAGCTCATTTTTTCAAGACAAGTAATCACCAAATTATTGTGTTTCAAGTTAAGGCAAGCTGTATATTTGTAAATATTACACGTTACACCTATTGTGTACCCACATTACTACCAACTGTGTGTGTCACGTGACTTGATTGAGTTATCATACCTGCGGTAAAAGCTCGGCTAGTTTCATTAGCTCAAGATGAATACTAATGGTGAGAATGCTGCCCCCCCCCCCCCCCCCCCCCCCCCCCAGGCATATTCAAGTTGGCAATGAGCAACCATTTTGGTTATGTGGAGCAGAGGGAGGCCAGTGATGTTGTAGACAGAACGCACACGATTTGCTGTAAGTGTTTCAAAAAACTTCCTCGGCCTCCAGACAACATTTCAAATGTGCAGGTGCATGACAGAAGGCTTCACCCCGGCTTTGATCTCAGTAGAACATATAAGATTAATAAAAATACAGATTCCCTGCCCCCTTTTTTCCTTTGCTGGCCCACCCCAAAAAAAAAACTGCAAAAAAACCGTGGTCTAAACCGAATGGGGGCTTTGACAGTCTTTACACCCTTAGTTTGCAGTCTAAATACCATAACCAAATACCAAAAAAAGCACCAGTCATCAGCATTTAAGCCATTATTTTAATCTCACGCCACAAACAGCCCCTGTACTGGTTGCTAGTGATGTCCTGTTTCAAAATGAATGCCAATCAGGTCTTGTGTGCATGCTTCCGATTTTATAGAGGGGTTCTGCAGTGTTGCCCGGTCCTTGACGTCTGTCTGTCTGTCCGTCTGTCTGACATTACACCGTAGACCTATAAAGTCTCGTAATTATGCTTACAGCTTGTGTGTAATTGAAATCTTGTGCTCCAATATTTTATTTTCGTATCATATTTATATTTGGGTTTGAATGGGACGGAGGGCTACAAAAGCAGGTTAAGGCTCTGTTGTGCTTATGTTTACAAAGGCTTGCAATTTTATTGGAAGAAGGAGGGAGTGGGAGGGGCATATGAGACATTCCTGCTCAGGATTACTGGTACTTATTTTCCAGAGTGGGATGACTGCAGGGTGCAGAGGTCTGTCAGTTTTGGTGAACTCAGAGGCGTGTCGATGCATTTTGACATTAGGGTGGAAAAGACAGAATTGAACTTAAACTATTCAAGGTATTTATTTCTGACTTTGACGAAGAAAAATTCCGAATATCCATTTGTTGTCATTTGTCTTAAACTTTCATATTTTCTTTATGAACGCTTTGCTTGTGTTTCCTTCTGTGCCGTCGATTTTGCGTAATGGCATTCAGATGTACGCTGCCATAGACACTTGTGTTTTTGCATTTGACAGGAAGACAGAAACGAGTGATGCTGACTCTCAGAAGAACCGCCCGTGACTGAGAGAAGGGAGTCGCGTCTCACAAAGCATGGTGAGGCCTCCTTACTACCTCTCTGCTCATTATGCCTTTGCTGTCAACATTACACCTGCTAACCTCTCTGGTTAGAGACATTCCTGGTTTTTTTTGCCTCTTGTTAGGGGGAAAAATGGCCTCATTAGTCTTCCAATTTTTGTTCCCTTTTAAATTTGTGAGTCCGTTTTTTTTATTTTATTTTATATTGATTATCTTTTCATGTAACACCTGGCTGTGGCAGATAGATGGGCATTTCCAGAGGATGGGGCTGGACTGCGTGTCAGCCTTTTGGGGGGGGGGGTCGCCAGCTGGGATCCCCAGGTGTTTCTCCGTGCGGTAGGCACGGCAGCACGCTGTTCCGGCGCGTGCTCCCTGACCTGATCTGATTATCTTTTGATTGGATCACACATCTATTCAGCTGAAACTTCTTATTCATACGTTCCTTGGTGTTGGTACACTGTGGCTGGGTCTGATGTTTGCTAAGCAGTAGGATCAGAGTGACACGCGTTAGTCATCTAGACATGCCCTGCAGCAGCAGAGAGGCTGTGCTTGTTTTGATCACCCTCTAGGCAGAAATCCAGGGTTTGTTTTGCTGCCAACCCCACCTTAAAAAGGGATTGATAGGCATTTAAATAGCTAGTTAATGATATTTTTGATCTATTGTTTTTACACTAATACATGGTCCCATCTCACTGTAACAGTACTGTGTAATCTGTTGTGGTACGACCTTGTTTGGGTCGAATCTGTTGCCTCCCTCACACGGGATCTCCAAACACCACAGGTGGATGCGAGCACGGCCTGCAGGATGAACCCTTTGGCAGCTTTGGGCATGGACCAGAGCACCCTGATGAGGGACCTGGGCATCCATGGCGGCCTTGTGTACCCCGGACTCAAGGGGCGGGACGGGGCCGGCGTGCCCCTGGGTTACATCAGCGAAGGCCTTCCCGACCTGCACTACAAGCATGACGTTTCCCTGGAGAGCAGGAAGGCCACCAATGGCTACGTCGGCCTGTATAAGAGCGCCCCCCCGGGCCTTCAGAAGCCGCTGCTTGTGCCGGGAGGGGCGGGGGACGCACTTGGGCTTGACAAGCAGACGGACTTGGGCATGAATGGTGGCGCCGGTTACCTCCGCCTCCCGTGGATGAGCCCGTACCCGGACGCAGGGATGTACCCCTTCCTGGATTCCACTAAGTATGCCGCTTTCAGCATGTACAAAGCCTCTTTGATGTCCCAGCCTTCGCCCTACCTGCCTCAGCATTTGGCCTACCAGTCCCTGTGTGCTGGGGCGGGGGGTGGTGCGTCAGGCACCGATCGCATATTCTACGTGCCGCCGTATCCCCCCACCCCCATATCTTCTCCCCTGGCTCCTCCCATGAGGATCCCCCCGGCAACTGTCGCCGCGACTCCCCTCTCCCCACTGGTGCACTGTCAGGACAAAACCTTGCCGGGCCTCGGGCCGAGAGTCCACCACGAGCCGTCTGCTTTCGGACAGCAGCTCCAGCAGCCCCCGCCGCACCACGCGTCCCACGACGATCGGCTGCACGGTGGCAAGGCAGTCCCCGTCTCCGCAAGCAAAGGGTCCAGTGGTACCGGCACCATGGGTATCGCCGGTAGTGGTCTCTCCACGGACGCTACTGCAGCTCTGCTGATGCAGTCGCCCCGCTCAGCCCTTCGGCACGGCCAGCCCCCTGCACCCCCACCCCCTCTCATGGACAGCACTTTGGACTTCCAGAAGCCACTGCCCCGAGGCCCGCCTTCCTCCTCGTCCTCCTCACCATCCATGTCCCACTCCTTCTACATGAGCGGCTTGGCCCTGGAGCACTTTTCCCCAGCTCGGTCATCCAGCCACAAGTGCAAACCCAAGGAGGGCGGCTTGGAGCACAGGAGCAGCGGCGGAGAGAAAAAATCGAGCAAGACGCCTCCGAAAGCGGCGTCGGACAAGTGCGTTCAGCATACTCCCGGCAAGGACCCGGCAGATAAGCCCTTGGATTTGTCTGCTAAAATTGAATTTGGCACACCCCCTATTGGATTTAACCCTAAACTAGAGGCCTTAGCCAAGCTGGGTCACTCCCCGACAGCTCTGTATGGACTTCACCCAAGCAGAGAGCTTCTCAAAGAGACCGGCTCACCCCCCTCTTCTGCAGTTTGCACTTCCTCCAAACTCCCGGAGAGACCCGAAATAATCAGCACTTTGCATTCGTCCTGGGTGGTGCCTGGTCCGGGTCCCCCCCCCTCCTCGCTGCTCGTGGATTCCGGGCAGAACAAGGTCCCATCGGTAATTAAAAACAAGACCCTTGAACGTGTCATACCCCAACAGCGTAGCTCCTCCTGCCCCAGGATCGGGGAGTCCAACTGCAGCCCCCCCACCAATCCAGCCACTACCGTCGTGACCCCTGTGGGCCGGCCTGCCTCCGCGTCCCCCTCACCCAACTTGAATGGCGATTGGCCTAAGTCCAGTACCAGCCTTTCAGAAAAAACATCCATGGCTAATTGCGCAAGTAGCCAGGCCTCTGCGAAGCCGGCAAAGACTTCCAAGCGCCTCGAGTCCCAGGAAATTAACTACAAGCCACAGCATCCGCACCTGGAGAATGGCCACACACCCAACCACCATTACCTACCCCAGAATGAAGCTTTCCTGCCCCCAGGTTTACCGTATGGGAATAGATATTTACCATATCCAGTCCCCGAGAGCATTTCCCTTCCTCACATACCTTTGCCAGGAAAGGGTCCAGTTTACCCTCATCCTGCCTTGCTGGGAAGCAGCAGTCTGTACCCGGCCCGTTTGGCTCCAAAGCAGGGCCTCCCTTATGGGTTGCCACCGAGCCATGGGGAATTCTTGACCTACCATGACTCTCAGGATATGGTGCACCCCTTGATGTCTCCTCACCCGGCACTGGACGCCAAAGTCAATGAGAGGCTGGAGAGGAGGTTCCAGTCACAGGAGAAGCACCGGGCCAGCGAGGACGGCACTCACAGGAGCAGCCATGCCGTAGAGACTGCTGACACGGCTCGCAAGCCCGAGAAGGAAGCTGAGAAGTCTGTGGGCCAGGGTTCAAGGCCCCTGGCATCAGCAAAAGACCCGAGCCAAGATGGCACAGATGGCGGCTCTGAGAGGCACGGTGCCTATGGCGCCAAGAGAGGAGATCCCAGCAAGTCTATAAGCAATGGAGACCGAGGAAATGGCACAGGAAAGGAGCCAGAGCTGATGCAGCTCCTCCTGTCCAGCCAGGCGGCTTCTCGGAGGCCGCCGGAGCCAGACGGGCAGCCAGAGGTCGCTAGCAGGCACAGGCCTCAGGGCCAGGACTGTCTGCCGCTTGGCGCCTGCCAAAATCGAACGTCTCCCGAGGACAGTCGCAGCGAGGAGAGCCCCGCTGAGCAGAGTCCTCTCCCAGACTTACCAGAGCACCAGACGCTGCGCTGTGCCAGGACATCCGGCGACAGAACCTCAGAGGCGGGCAAGCGTGAGAGAACACGTCCGCAGGTCTATGACGAGCTGAACAGGGAAGCATCCGAAAACCCGGAGGCCCAAGATCAGGACGATGATGGTCATAACTCCTCCAAGACCAGGAGGTCAAGTCTGGCTAAAAGGATCGCCAACTCCTCCGGCTATGTGGGCGACCGGTTCAAGTGTGTCACCACGGAGCTGTATGCGGATTCCAGCAAGCTGAGCCGGGAGCAGCGAGCTCTGCAGGTGAGTGTCTGTCCTTTGTGGGGTTTCATACATGGGAATTGGGTGGTCTAGTCAGCATAAGGGGAGGAAAATGTTCTGTTCCTGTTTGTGAAACCTGAAGTTCTGATGCTAAGATGACGGGTATGTGCTTGTTAATCGATTACTAGTGACACGGAACATCAAACTCAAAGCTACTTGGAGAGACGATTGTGAATTTCCGTGGTTTAGCATTTCGGTCTTAACATGGAAAAAGCCCCTCCCCTATTGACGCGACACTCTTCACAAGAACCGTGTCAGTGAATCGGCTCATTCACTGCGAATCGACACGGCTGCCCCCCCTCCCCCCTTCACTTGCTGTTGCACAACACTGGTTAGCAGAGAGTGAGGATTAACCACATGCGTGATCTGCGTGTGAGTCGCTGGGTCTTGGGCTGGATCTCTTCTGCGGCCAGGAGAGTCCACATGGTTTGGGGGGGGGGGGGCGCGGCGATGTCAGCCCACAGCAAGTTTGTGGGAGCGGGATGGAGGCCAGGAAGTCCAGGGTGAGGGAGATTCTCCTGTGTTTGTCCCAGACTAAGCACTGTGGGGTTTGCTGCCTCGTCTGTGTGTCTGTGAATAGTTCTAACCCGGGTTGTTTGTGGGCATGTAATTTCCTCCACTGTGGTTTCCTCCGCGGAGAAGGTTAGGGCCATTACTGAGATGTGAGATTGAAAGAAAGAAAGAAAGAAAGAAGAAAAAAAAGAAAAAGTGTTCCCCTCTGGGTGACACACGTGTTGCGTAAACAGAGGCTTCATGTTTGCCGTGCTTTCATTCGAAAAAGCTGCAATGCAAAATGATTAAAGCCAAATTTCATGGGTTCTTAAATATCAACACATGCAATTCTTCTTTCCTATAATATCAGGACTCTGTAATGAGCTTTTGTTTTGTTCTTTGTTTTTTTTTTTTTAAATGAAGACCTACACGTGCCGAGATACAGTTAATGATGTGTAACCCTCTAATTCACGTTTCTGTTGTTGGAATCCAGTGCCAAATTGTTTAGTACCATTGCATTGAACCCATGTACATATGATATATGTACATTCTGTCCTGAAAGGGCTGTGACTATGTGCTTTGAATGTTAAAGATGTCATGTAATTAAAATGATTGAAAGATATATTGAGCACCCATTTTAATTACTTAGATGGAAGGCTTATCACAAGAGGACAGTAATTTAAGTCAACCTGCTGCTTACAGTGAGGTCAGTTCTTTATATTTTTATTACACATTCACATGTATGGAATATCATTTTTTGCAGCACTATTCCTAATGACTGAGTGTGATTCTGCTGTGTTCCAGTGTTTGATCTGTTAGCTGTGTGATAACCGAACTGTTAGCAGCGTTAGCTGCCGGCGTCAAACGAGCCTTAGACTTGGTATGGAGCAAACGGGGGGGGGGCCGCCTGGTCTCTCCCTCGTTCCCGCGAATTAGCGTCTCGAGCCGCAGTCCTGAAGCAAGCCGCAGAGGGGGAGGGGGAAGTGATGGCGACGTGACCGATGTCCTCATGGCTGTGTTTCTGCGTGTGTCTGTGTATGTGTGTGTGTGTGTGTGGGGGGGGGGGCTGCAGCGTGCGATGCTCCGCTTCTCTGAGCTGGAACTAAAAGAGAAGGAAGGTGGGGCGACAGCATCCCAGGAACTGGCGGGAGGCCGGAACAGCGAGGCAGCGTGGGAGGCCGGCAAGGAGGGTAAGGAGCTCGTGTTCCCCGGCACAGTATCCTGCACACCCTGCTTACAGCTTCAGGAGTAACCATCTCAAACAGGCTTTACTTAACGTGGCTTGGAGATCGTTTTAAAAGTGAATTTTTGTCCGATTCGCAGCGACTCGCCCAAATCCGGTTGCTGTACATTCAGGTTAAGTGTCTCAAGATTACAATGGCAAAGGACCTTATTAACATACAAGCTTTACCCACAATGCCCTGCATCACGGAGCAGCGGCCCAGTGGCCGTCGTCATGATGCGTAGCTGGGAGTGGGTTGGGTCGTGGTGAGTTCAGGGTGTTATGAAGGCCGGACAGATTTTAAATAAAATAATCCGTGGCTGGATTAGAGTCTTGGCATCCTGTCCCAGTGCGGCTCCGCGGGGCCCTGCTTTAGATCCCGCTGTCAGTACTGTATCGGCTCCTGCTCGTGACCTGCTCTTCCTTTCTGCTTTTCTGCGCATCGTTCCGGGTATCGCTCTCCATGCGGGGGTCGGAATTATCCCTCGTTGCTTTCGTTCACTCTGTCAGAGGCATCCGTCAAATGGGGGTGCTGAATTTGCCATCTTTCAGGTCCTGTTTAGCTTAATGTGTCCCTGTGCTTCTGGGTCGGGGCAAATGGTCTGTCTTCCAGTTGTTATTTCTTGAGTTTTTTTGAGGAGTTTCTGTCTGTTAGCAAACTTTGAGCCTCTGCTCACAGGGTAGGTAGGCAGGGCTCTGAGATGCCGACCAAAGGAGATCCCTCACTGGGTCACGCACTGACTGATCCTTGTGAACAGCAAAGCCACGCCGCTGCTATGGGGAGATGGCGTTGCCATAGTGATCCCCCGCGGTGGTTGCCATAGCACAAACACAGTGATAAATTATGGGATGCATGTGTCATGAGTCATATGATTGTTGTTCACAGATCAAGTGATTTAAGCCCGTGGCATTGGCGTCTGAGTGCCCGGGGAGGGGGGCGGACTCCATCTCAAGCCCAGGCCAGCTCCATGCACCCGCCGGTGCAAGCCCAGCTGCAGCTGCAGCATGCGCGAGCCGTGGGCCGTGCGGCAGGCGGGGTCTAGTGTAGTTTGGCTGCATTGCTACATTCTCGGCAAGCCTCTGTCGGGCCTTGATCTCTGCGGAGCCCTGGAAACTGGGAGGGCGGTGGGGGAGGGGAACTTTCCAAGAGCCTACTTGTGTTGGAAGGGGGCCGGAGCTGACGTTTTAAGGTTAAAGAACGGGGAGACGAAGGAGCTCTGCTCGGCGCCCCTGCCACTCTCCGTGTGCCGGAGGTCTGTGTTGTTTTCCTTCTGAGGCTAAATTTTCCACGCCACTTGGCGGCTGCAATACGGGGACCCCCGTTCAGACCCCCTTCACACTTAACCCTGTCTGTGTCCCTATTTAAATGCGGTTCTTCATTTCCCCCCCGCCTCCCCCCATGGCATGTGCTGTTCTGTTCTTTTGACTGGGTGCCTCCCCCCACCCCCCGTGCCGCTCTCCAGGTGTGGGGGCTGCCAGCGGGAACAACAGGCCGTCTGTTCTGCAGCGATGTGCAGGGCAGGGTCAAGGCCCGCCCCCGGCTGAGAGGGAGGCAGGCCGGGCCGTCGCCCCCCCGGAGGCACCGGAGAAGCCCCAGGGGGCTGTTGCCCCTGGCGGCAAGCGGCCCGTCTACCGGGACGAGGGCCAAGCCCAGCAGAGTGAGGAAGACGGACCCCCCCTTGGAGAAAAGAGACCCAGGCTAGTTTCCGGTAAGAGTCTGTGTGATTGTCACTCCCCCACCGTTCCTCCTGTCCCCTTCAGTGCTCCCACCTCGGAGGAGGAGATGCTGATTTCCCTCTTGGTGCATTTAGCTTTTGATGATATTTCTTTGTTTGTGTTCTACAAGCGACACATGGGCTGCTCGCTGTGTGGATTCACATACACAGCCACCTCAGCCCACCCGCTACCCCTGCATTTTATTTCCATTTTGTTAGCAACACGTGCCAGATCACTGTGTCGCACGACTCGTGCATGGGGGGGAAAACCATCAAATAAAATCATCCGATTGGGTGAGCCCCCCCACCCAATTCAGAGATTTTGAGAGGTGATGTTTTTCCTTGTTTACAATCCTGTTGCAAATGTTTTACAGTCATTTGAGTTTTATTTTATTTATCCCCACTCCAGTCCGCAGGGCGGAGGGAACCAAAAATGACAGATCACTTTGTCCCGCTGGAGCGTTTAGTTCTGAATTAATTTAACCCCAGCGGTGCCCCCCCCCCCCCCCTCCTCCAGGGGCTGGACTTTATCAGGCAGCTCCATATCAGGGAGACCCAGCCAAGGCAATTAGCCGCTTAGCGCTCATTTGGCTTACGGGCCGCCAACGAGGTTGCGGCACAATCTGAGGGTTGTGGCGAGAGGGGCGATGGGGGGCATTGGCAGCCGCACGGCGGGGTTAAACCGCGTGGAAACACCACCCCCTGCCTTTTTTCCGGGGGGGGAATAAGCCTCAGTGAGCTTAGGTTTTCTGGCATGTAGGATTTTGTTTTGGAAACGTGCTCTGTGATGTTTATTAGTCTGGCTGAGGTGGGTGTGCCCCCAACCCCCC